AAAATGGTGCAAACACCATTTTGATCTTCTACACCATCCATGACCTTCTGAAGGAAGCTTTGCAAAAAAAAACATGTGCCCTGATGGTGTTTCTCTAAATCCCCCCAAAGCTGCAAAGAGAATGTCCAGATCCGGTGGAGGATATCAGAAATCAGTATAAGCAGAAGTTGGGACGGATCACTGCAGCTTTCTGTTCTAGAGATGACCCTAAATTTAAGCCTGATAGTTCAGCAACCTTGGGAATCAGCCAGTGGGATCACAGCAGTTGCTGTTAACCTCACTAACCTGCCACTGTCAGCCACAGCTGTGGCTCACATGTCGGAAGCAATTACATCTCTCCAGTGGAGAAAAGTTCAGACTGCTTTCAGCTAAACCCTTAAACGAGGAGGAGGAGAAGGAGAAGCAGGAGGAGGAGGAGGAGAAGGAGGAGGAGAAGCAAGAGATGGAGGAGAAGGAGAAGCTGGAGGAGGAGGAGGAGGAGGAGGAGGAGGAGGAGGAGGAGGAGGAGAAGAAGAAGAAGAAGAAGAAGAAGAAGAAGAAGAAGAAGAAGAAGGAAGAAGAAGAAGAAGAAGAAGAAGAAGAAGAAGAAGAAGAAGAAGAAGACATACCACATCCATTTGCTTCTATTCTACAAGGCAGAATCAACTTTTGCCACGTAAAAAAATAGCAATCTTCTTGAGATGAGACTTTATTAGCAACCATGATGGTTCCTTGATCACGCCACTGTCCACTTAACAACCACCGCAAAAAATTGGGTCAGTCACATGGGTGACTTGCTACATGAGTGTCATGACTTACAAGCATAATGGACATGTCATAAGTTGAGGATTACCTGTTACTGTTTTACTGCTACCTGTCCAGGATGCTAATTTTCACGGAGATACCGTGGAGTTGGACCGGTGATGTTGAGAAAGCAAGGCCTTTCCCTCGGTCGCAATCTCTGAGATTTCATCAGCCATCCCCCACCCAAATTGAACAAAGGATCCTACTGTAAAAGCCAAGAATCTAATCTGCTCCTCAAGTGTGGAGCAGATGGATCGGTTACTCATTCCCTTCCAGAATTGAGCTCAGCAACCTTCCTGGGCTCTCTAATGATGAGGAGGCATGGTCTCCATCACTTCCAACTGAGCAGCTCAGAAGAAATTATTCTTCTGGTAAAACAAGAGTTTGATCCAGCCAGTGATTCAATTATGAACCCGGAAATTCAATTTGACGAGCAACGAATGTCCTCTTGGGCCGAGGAGGAGAACACCAACGCAGCAGGCAGATTCATGCTCTGACAGCTTAAATTAAGATGAGAGTTTGCCAGATGTCCGATTTTCCCTCCCCGCAGATAATCGAATTCAGCCCTTATCAAATGGGGCCTCCAGAGGCCGGGCATGAGTCATGCTTCTCTTGAGAAGTTGTCTGAAAGCTGGAGGGGAAGAACAAAAGCTCAGCATGGAGCAGTGATGGCTAACCTTTTTGCCATCGTGTGCCAAAAGTTGGGGGAGTGGGGGGGGTGTCATGTGTGCGTGTGCCCACACCCATAATTCAATGCGCCCCCGTCCCCCTGCGCATGCCCACATGACCCACCAAGCTCCCCTGCTTTTGGCACGCGATGGCACGGTGGTCCCGGTAGGCCCATTTTTCACCCTCCCCAGGCTCCAGAATGGTGCCAGAGGTCTCCTCGAGAGTAAGGCTTGGGGCTAATTGGCCACTCCCTTAGCCTATTTAAGTTCGCACACAGCTGGCAAATGTTGCTGGAAACAACGTTTGGTCCTACGCAGAGCATTTTGAAAGTGAGTTTTTTGTTACAACTTGGTTTCTGGGCTGATTGCTAACCCTTGTCGGACTTTGTTTAATCTCTGTAATTCATAGCAGGCTGATAAGGACATTTGTGGTTAAAGCCTGCATTTAGAAAGGGGTCTGTTTGTATTAAACCGAGTTTTTGGAGCTGTGTGTGTGTGCTACACTTCTTGGGACCCGTAGCTGGGGCAGAACACTTATCCACACAGCCCATTGATCCGTGCCCATCATTGTGGGATTTAGCACCCATGGTGCTAAACTGCGGTTCGCTTAATCCTTGTTTTCCTGAATAAACCCTGATCCAAATAAGGCCGAATTCAAAACAGGCCAGTTAACCGCTGCGCCGATCCCTCCATCTTTCTCCTTGTTTCACCCCAACGTGACTTTTCAGCAGTCTGACCTTGGAAATGCAGCTGTGAATGATCGGAGAGACAGCCGGCAGCTGCATTTATTCCAAAGTAAAATTGACGGCCTTGATGCGAAATGCGACAGCAGATCCCGTTCGTTTGGTGATTGCAGCAAAAGCTCAGCGGGGATTTTTGGTCATAAATGTTTCAGTCCCGGCAATGTAGGGATTTGATTCATTCTTCCTCTTCTTTCCAGATCTGAGCACTTGCTGTGCTTTAACTTAATAATTGTAAATAATGCATTAGGAGGGTCTCTATCGCAACCTCAGTTTTATCTTCGGTCTGGAAGCTGATCTTTGCACTGAGCAAACCCTTTGCCTTTGCAAAGGTTGACCCAGCCATCTTTCCGAGGTGGGTAACATGAGGACCCAGATTGTTGGGGGCAAGAGGCTGACTCTGTAAACCGCTTAGAGAGGGCTGTAAAAGCACTGTGAAGCGGTACATAAGTCTAAGTGCTATTGCTATCTTCCTTCCTTCCTTCCTTCCTTCCTTCCTTCCTTCCTTCCCTCCTTCCTTCCTTCCCTCCTTCCCTTCCCTTCCCTTCCCTTCTCCCTTCCCTTCCCTTCCCTTCCCAGTGATTAGAATGCAGAAAGGGGGGGGGGGGAAATCACGTTTGGATCGATGCAGCAGTTCCACAATCCGTGCCTCAAAGAAAGAACAGTTTTGCAAGTAAATCCTTAAAAAACCAGAAAGGGGGGGGGAGGAGGGAGCATGGGGAGGGAAATCGCTTTGCCGAAAATAAGCCAAAAGCAGTTGGCGGCTTTTACGGCAGGAGGCAAAATTCGGCCCCTGGGACTCACAAACATTTGGAGTGTAATCCCAAGACTTCTCTGTGCTGATGGGAGTGACTTGAAAACTGCCTGGGGGAAAAAAAAAAAGCAGGATGACAATAAAAAGTTGCATTGTGTGATGTGGCTGCTCGGGTTTTCAGCCATGTGGCTGTGTCCTCTTCCAAGGTCTCATTCCACCACCACCATTGCCCCTTCGTCCACGTCACAACTTCTGCACATGGGCTATTCCTATTGGATTGTTTTGAAGAAGTGCATTCTTCCCTTCCATTTACTTCTCCACCCCAATTTTTATAGACTTCAACTCCCAGAATCCCCCACCCAAAAGACCATTTTTGATCCTCCGTGGAAGAGGGTTGATGCTTTAGAACCATTGTATCTCAACCGTGGCAAGGTGAAGATGGGTGGACTTCCAGAATTCCACCCGAATTTCAACTTCCAGAATTCCCCAGCCAGCCATGGCCCTCACCCTTGTTGGCATCCTCTTTCAGATTCCTGGATAGAGAGTTACCTTCTCTCCAGCTGCACACCGGTGTTAACCAGCGCTTGTGACAATTCGGCACAAAGGTTTCAAATGCATTTCAGATCCTTTTATATTTCTGGCCCGGGTTTGAGACCCCAAAGCTGAACGATGGGGTGAGTTCCCCTCCTTGCCTCAGCTCCTGCAAATGCAAGTAGATAAATAGGTACCACTTCGGTGGAAACATGCAGATGCAAGTATAGATAAATAGGTACCACTTCGGTGGGAAGCATGCAAATGCGAGTATATAAATAGCTACCACTTTGGTGGAAAGCATGCAAATGCGAGTAATAAATAGCTACCACTTTGGTGGAAAGCATGCAAATGCGAGTAGATAAATAGCTATCACTTCTGTGGAAACCATGCAAATGCGAGTAGATAAATAGCTATCACTTCTGTGGAAACCATGCAAATGTGAGTAGATAAATAGGTACCACTTCGGGTGGAAAGCATGCAAATGCGAGTAGATAAATAGCTATCACTTCTGTGGAAACCATGCAAATGCGAGTAGATAAATAGGTACCACTTCGGTGGAAAGCATGAAAATCCGAGTAGATAAATAGGTATCATTTCAGTGAGAAATTAACAGCCTTCCCTGCGTCTTTGGTGTATAGCCATGCTGGCCACACGACCACGGAAAGTATCTTCAGACAACACTGGCTTCCTCAGCTAAGAAACAGAGATGAGCACAGTCCCTTAGAATGGGACACGACTGGACAGGGGACACCTGTACCCTTTACCTACATTTCTGGCTGGCCTTGACTATTCTTGTTCTGCAAAGAACGATCAGGCTTCCGTTCCTCCTGACCTAGCTGTAAATTCAGCATTTCCAATGCATGCTGAATTAATCTTTAAAACTCAGATGGCTGAGTGGATAAGAGGGAACGGGCTGCCGTAAGGTTAGGTGAGCATTTATGTGAAATATATGTCCTCCGATCGATGCACTGAATCATAACACGCTAAATGATTTATAGGGAAAACAGGCTAATTCCGGTGGTGTAGAAATCCGAGAAAGCAATAAATAATGAAGGCAGGACAAGCAGTTCTTCGGGTATGAATTAGTTGACTATTAGGGCCCGTGTCACCGGAAGCGGGAGGAAAAAAAAAATGCAGAGATGGACTCAGCATCTTCTAAAGCGTCTTTGCTTCCAAAAATACAGATGTCAAAAAATGTGTTCCTGGAAACCCAACGGTGCTTTTTCAAAAAGCGCCTGGACTTTCTTGGGGGGGGGGGTTTCCCCTTGAAAACATTTCGCCTCTCATCCAAGAAGCTTCTCCAGTTCTTCTTGGATGAGAAAGGAGACATTTTCAAGGATGGGATGGGGGGAAACTCAATAAAGGGTTTTGGGTTAACACAAGGGCTGCAAATTACTTTCAAATTATCGAAGAATGGAAGCAGAAACTGTGATCGCATCCTGACCGATATCTTCGCAAAGGAGAAGTACGACCACCTCAGACCCCGATGAACAAGCGATAGAATATTCTTTCTTGGCCAAACATGATTGGACACACAAGGAATTGGTCTCCGGTGCATAAGCTCTCAGTGTACATAAAAAGCAATAAGTGAGAAATCATGATCACAGTCATCGTAAAGATACATTCATTGTAAATCATAAGAGACAACACTTAGTGATAGTCATAGGATATTTTAACTTTAACAGATTGGAGGGGATCTTCGAGGTCATCTAGCCCAACCCCCCACCCAAGCAGGAGACCCTACACCATTTCTGACAGATGGTACTCCAGTCTCTTCTTGAAAGCTTCCAGGGATAAAGCCCTCACAACTTCTAAAGGCAACTTCTGTTCCATTGAATATAGAATAACAGAGTTGGAAGGGACCTTGTAGGTCATCTAGTCCAACCCCCTGCCCAAGCAGGAGAACCTACACCATTTCTGACAAATGACAGTCCGGTCTCTTCTTGAAAGCCTCCAGGGATGAAGGTCCCACAACTTCCGAAGGAAATCAACTTGATTGATTGTTCTCACTGTCAGAAAAATGTTCCTTATTTCTCCTATTAAATAAGCAATCAACATAAATCATACTAGGATGCCGAGTAAAAAATATAATCACAAGATACAAGCAACAAAGTTATAGTCCGAAGAAGATAAGGAGGTAGGTAATAGGAAAGCTGAGAAGAAGGATAGAATACAGCTTTACTAGATAGTTTGACAGTGTTGTGGGAATTAGTTGTTTAGCAGAGTGAAGAGAGCAGAGGTAATAATAACAACAATAACAACAACAACAACAATAACAATAATAATATAACATGTAACTGTGATACCCATTGTCATCGGAGCACTTGGTACCATGTCCAAGAATTTTATAACATACATCAGCAAATTGCAGCTTCCTGCAATAACACCAGCGGAACTGCAAAAAACTGCGCTACTTGGAACATGGTACATCTTAAGAAGGTACTTGGTTGATCCCTAGGACGCTGGCAGCAACCCGTATCAACCATTAGCCCCTAGTCAATGGTATTTGTGATGCATTTTTGAATGTTCAGTTGACTGAGTTTCATGTTTAATGAATAAACATAATTGTCAACTTGCAAAGGTTGCAAATATATTTAAAAAAACACCTAACTGTCACATGTAGGTGTTGTGCAACTGTTTTCTTCCCTTTCCAGAACAGTGGGAGCCAAAAAAAAAACAGTGGCCAAAAAAATTTTAGGCTCTGTAGGTGTGCATCTTGGGGATGGTTTCTATTTAATTTGATGGATCATAAACTCCCTGGGCCTGCTCCTTCTCCTTTGTTTATTGGTCTTTTGGAGTTTGCAGAAGGCACATTACTCATTAGAAAACACACTCGGAAAGGGGGCAGGCAGTAGGGGACAGGTCTCCTACCTTCAAAGCCTCTCAACCGTATTAATAATCCAATCAGGGCTTACTCACCGTTCATTCAGCCCAAGGAAAGGTTATTAAAAATATATATATATTCAGATGCACAAAAACAGAACAGCTTCTGAGAACGTTGCTTGTTTTCCTAGCACTCTTCTGGCTACTTTAAGGCTCGAAATACAAATCGTCCTTGACTTGCAACCATTCGTTTAGCGACCGAAGTTGAAACAGCACTGAAGAAAGTGATTTACGACTGTTGTTCACACTTGCGACTGTTTGTGGCATCCCCATGGCCGGTGCTTGGTAACTGGCGTGTATTTCGGATGGTTGCAGTGTCCCAGAGTCAAATGATCGGCCTCGGTAACCTTCCTAGCTGGTTTCCAACAAGCAAAGTCATTGGAGGAAACCAGTTTGGCTTAATAACCTCACAGCGCATCTAATGGCTGCAGTGATTGGCTTAACAACTGTGGCAAGAAAAGTCATAAAATGGAGCAAAACTCACTTAACGACCACCCTGTTTAGCAACGGGAATTTTTGGCTATCCGTACCTGCTGTTTGGTGTTTGTAGATGCAATGAAGTTGCTTTTAATTTGTTCGCTGGCTCTCTTCCAGAGACTCGGTTAGAAAATCTAATATTTTTTATTCCTTTGCTGCCCTCTTCTGGTTGTCTATTGCATTGAAACTTCTGATCCACTGAACTCCCCCAAGGAAGGTGCTTTTTTAAGAGACGACTGGACTTTTTTTGTTTTTCTTTGAAGACTTTTCACTTCTCATCCAGGAAGCTTCTTCAGCTCTGACTGGATGGAGGAGAACGGAAAGATTTATATTCCTTGCAGAATATAAATTTGCAAGCTCTGACTGGATGGTGGGGAAGGAATCCTTCCCCACCATCCAGTTCCAGTCAGAGCTGAAGAAGCTTCTTGGATGAGAAGCGAAACTTCTTCAAAGAAAAACAAGAAAGTCCAGTTGCCGCTTGAAAAAGTGCTGGATGACTGAGAATCTCCCTAGATCCCTGGAACTAATTTTTTTCTGTACTTTAACTCCATTGGGCCCATTTTCAAGTGGGACGTAAAAAAAACTAGTGAAGCTTTTTATTCCCACCTCAACCCCAAATCTTGGCCAAAATCTCCTGCATGAATAGAAATACAAGGGAGAGAAAAATCAGCTCTGGGGATGTTACCCGTTTCCAGCAACAGGGCATATTTAAAGCACCCCATTCCAAGAACCATTCTTTGTTTTTGTAGTATAATAAATTGTGCCATTTATGTTTCAGATTTATATAGGTACTTCTCTTACGTCTATGACTCTGGGTTGTTTACACACAGCGGAAAGAATTTAAAACAACCAACAATGCAACAGTTTTAAAAAAAAAGAATATAAAAAGTATATTAAAAAGTCATCATGCATCATAAAAAAATTGTGAAATTCACAGCTGAGATAATCACATCTATTAGTAAGATTCAGTTACGACCTCCGTACAGATTTCCCCCCCCCCCCATTTTTTTCCTGCTTTTCTTTTTCTTTTAAAAAATTAACCAGTCTGGAGATGTTCTAAAGCTTCGAAGGCCTTTAAAAATAAATAAATGGAGGTTGTGAAGCAGAAATGTAATTAAGACGAATGTAAGGGAACATAATAAAATAACTATCACAGCCAGGAACCACAAAACAACAAACGGCAAACATCAGTCACAATCTAAATGCTTGAAACCACCTGGAGGAAAGATTTCGCTAATCATAAAAAGCGATTTTCCTTCACACCTCAACTTTAGCAAGTACCATCAAAACTATTCAGGACAGGAAATTCCACAATCAAGGGCTCTTATAGCTTTTTAGGACCGGAAGTGCCCAGGGTGGGCTAGAAGCAAAAATATTTTGGGGGATCCCTCCTCCCACAAAGCTTTAAACACATTTTCTGGAGGAGGGGCGATGATAAAACCCAACTAAATAAAAAAAAATCAGGAGTCTGGGAGCACTTTTGCAGACTAACACATTTTAGCAAAAAGTTCCATATTGTTATTATAATTCGTCACGCAATCAGCCAGAAGTTTCAACTGGAGTGGACTTGGCATTTTTATCCATCTATCAACTACTTTCCAAAGACCTGGGACAGACAGATGCGGTTGTTTGATAGTGCTGACAGTATCACTGCAGAATGTGAGCTGTTCTAGATAGAGCTGCCTTTTGCAATTGACTAGTGGTGATTTTGTCAATGCCAATGGTGTTTCAATCAGAGTAGAGCTGGAAGGGATCTTGGAGGTCTTTTAGTCCAGCCCGCTCCTCAAGCAGGAGACCCTACACCCATGATGGTGAACCTATGGCACGCATGCCACAGGTGGCATGTGGAGCCATATCCGTGGGCACTCGAGCGTTGCCCTAGCTCAGCTCCAGTGCGCATGTGTGCACCAACATTTTCGGGCCTTCCGGGCACACCAGAAGTTGGGAAACGGCTATTTCCGGCCTCTGGGAGGGTGGGGGAGGCTGTTTTTGCCCTCCCCAGGCTCCAAGAAAACCTCTGGAGCCTGAGGAGGGTGAAAAATAGGCCTACCGGGCCCACCAGTAACCTTTGAATTATGGGTGGGCACACACACGACCTCCCCCCCACGCTTTTGGCATGCGATGGCAAAAAGGTTCGCCATCACTGCCCTACGCCATTTCAGACAGTTGGCTGTCCAGTTTTTTCATAAAAACCTCCAGTGATGGAGCACTCTCAACTTCTGGTGGCATGCTGTTCCACTGGTTAATTGTCCTGCAGGAAGTTTCTCTTTAATTCCAGGTTGCTTCTCTCCTTGATTCACGTTCAAGTGGTATTCCAGATATTTTGGAATGGTTGTTATTCTGCTTGATCCCACAATCAACCAGATGTTTAGCCTGAATATGGCAGTTTTGTCCCCTCATTGAGCCCTTCCCAAAGACAGGCAGCAGTATGTGTAGATCACGTTAAAGGTGTTGTAGGAAGTAAGCCTTCCAAACTGCCTTTTGCAATTGACCGGTGGGGATTTTTGTCGATTGCAAAAACCAGCTCGACTTGGAACTAGTCTCTCGCAATAACAGCTTTAATGCCATCAAAGGACATTTGCAACATACAAGTTTAGTAAATTATAATCGTCATCGTTCATCATCATCGTTTGATGGTATTAAAAGGTATCATCTCAGCTGTAAGTTGTTATTATGGTTTGGCGCGCAGTCAGCCAGATGTTCAGACTGGACTTGGCATTTTTATCCACCTATTTATTATTATTATTTACTTTATTCATTAAACATGAAACTCAGTCAACTGAACATTCAAAAATGCATCACAAATACCATTGACTAGGGGTTAATGGTTGACACGGGTTGCTGCCAGCATCCTAGGGATCAACCAAGTACCTACGTAAGATGTACGATGTTCCAAGTAGCGCACTTTTTTGCAGTTCTGCTGGTGTTATTGCCGGAAGCTGCAATTTGTTGATGTATCTTATAAAATTCTTGGACATGGTACCAAGTGCCCCGATGACAATGGGTATCACAGTTACATGTTATACTATTGTTGTTGTTATTGTTGTTGTTGTTATTGTTATTATTAGGCACGAACTATTTTCTTGCAAGGAGGTCTGTATGCACCATCATATAGCAAAGCAAATAAAGATAACTAGCTTTTATCTGAAGCAACCCCTCTGCTTTGAAAACAATTTTTGGTTAATTGAATGGAAGATAGAATAGAATTCTTTATTGGCCAAGTGTGATTGGACACACAAGGAATTTGTCGTTGGTGTATATGCTCTCGGTGTACATAAAAGAAAAGATACGTTCGTCAAGAATCATAAGGTACAACACTTAATGATAGTCATAGAGAAACAATATAAATCTTAAGGATACCAGCAACAAGGTTACAGTTGTAAGTGGGAGGCGATGGGTGATAGGAGCAATTAATAGTAATGCAGACTTAGTAACTAGTTTGACAGTGTTGAGGTTTGGATGCAACTACACAACAGGAGTTGCATTACAAAGGAAAATTGTCTACTTGGATGTAACTACTCTGGAAAAACAGGTAGATTTTTTTAAAATATTTTTTTAAAATCTTCAGATAATGGTCTCTCAATTGACCTGCATTTATTTGGAGCTCAGATTTGCCTGGTTTCCACTCATTTCTAATGAACGCAAGTGCCACAGTATTGTGATATTCACTGGCCCATGTACACGTTCAGAAGGTCGCAGTCTGAATTCAGTGCCGGTGGCACATAATTGTAAACATGTATAGAAAATAAACAGCTAAAATTGAGATTTTAGTAGGCCCAGGAGCCCATGAAAGAAGGCATTTCTCGCAGGGAAGTATTGTTAAGGACGGTGTTAAAATAAATATATATATATGTGTTGGATTGTGTCAACTGCCTTTAAAAGTGTGTTTTCTTGCAAGTCACCCTATTCATTCCAACAGGGACCCACATAACGTTTGCCTCTGGCTTAGATCCCAACTCCCATTATCCCCAGCGAGCCTCAGCCCAATAAACATCTACATGGGTGGGTTTTTATGATTTTACCAGGCAGCCCCTTCCCCACTGGGGACCCCTCCTTTAGCAGAGACCCCTCCATCCTTGGGAACGATGGGCACTAGAGCTGTTATTCGGTTTTTTTGGGGGGGGAGAAGCAGCCCCTTCCCTCTCAGGACCCTTCCATCCTGGGCGACCAGGGGCACTGGAGTCCCTATTTGGGGAGACACAACCCTTTCTCCTTTGGGACCCCCTCCTTCCTTGGGAACGATGGGCCCTGGAGTCCCTATTGGTGTTCTTTTAGGGAAAAGGAGCCCTTCCCTATCAAGACTGTTGATGGGCACCGGAGTCCCTATTTGGGGAGACACGACCCTTTCTCCTTCGGCACCCCCCCTTTCTTGGGAACGATGGGTGGTGCTGGAGTCCCTATGGGGGTTCTTTTGGGGAGAAGCAGCCCCTTCCCTATCAAGACCGTTGATGGGCGCTGGAGTCCCCCCTCCCTCCTTGGGGATGATGGGCTCTGGAGTACCTATTTGGGGAGACACAACCCTTTGTCCTTTGGCACCCCCTCCCTCCTTGGGAACGATGGATGCTGGAGTCCCTATTGGGGTTCTTTTGGGGAGAAGCAGCCCCTTCCCTATCAAGACCATTGATGGGGCTGGAGTCCCCCTCCCTCCTTGGGGACGATGGGTGCTGGAGTCCCTATTGGGGGTTCTTTTGGGAGAAGCAGCCCTTCCCTATCAAGACCGTTGATGGGCACTGGAGTCCCCCCTCCCTCCTTGGGGATGATGGGCGCTGGAATCCCTATTGGGGTCCTTTTGGGGAGAGAGCAGCCCTTCCCTAATCAAGACCATTGATGGGCGCTGGAGTCCCCCCTCCCTCCTTGGGGATGATGGGCTCTGGAGTCCCTATTTGGGGAGACACGACCCTTTCTCCTTCGGCACCCCCTCCCTCCTTGGGGACCATGGGCGCTGGAATCCCGACTCTTCCCCCCCCTTCCCCCTTGGGCCCGGCCCGGGCCCCCTCCCTCCTCCCCTCCTTCGGGGCGGGGGAAGGGGGCGGGGAAGGGGCGGCCCGGCGGGGCTCGGCCGGGCGGGCGGGCGGCGGGTGGGGCCGGCTGGGCTGAGGTTGGGGCGGCGAGGCCTGGAGCGGCGGCGGCGATGCGGCCAGGATGGCCGTCTCGGGGCTGAAGGCCGAGCTGCGCCTCCTCGAGTCCATCTTCGGCCGCGACCACGAGCGCTTCCGCATCGCCTCCTGGAAGCCCGACGAGCTGCATTGCCTCTTCGTGCCCCCCGACGGCCCCGGCCAGGCCCCGCCGCCCCCGCCGCTCGCCATCCACTGCAACATCACGGTGCGCTGGGGGGGGGGGAGGAGGGGGTCGCGATCGGGTCTCCCCCCTCCCTTCCCTCCCTCTCTCGACCCCCCCCGGCAGCCTTCATTCAACCCCCCCACCCCGAGGAATGGGGGAGGCTGCCCCCCAATCCCCCCCAGCCCCGCTCCTAACCCCCCCCCGCAGGCTGCCGGTGGGGAGGGGGCTGGGGGTCGCAGGGGAGGCGTTGGGGCCGAGGGAGGCTCTCTCTCTCCTCCTCCTCCTCCCCCCCTTTAAAGAGCCGGGGTTCCCCCAGGGAGGACCACCCCCTCTTCCCCAAAACTGGAGGGTCTCATCTGGGGAGGGGGGGGAGGCGGGCAGAAAGCCGGGCTCGATGGGGAGAGGGGGTCGGCCTCGTTTGTTTGGGGGGGGGGATTTGTGGGGGGTTGAAAGAGGCGCTACAACCCGCTTCTGAACTCTGCGTAGGCTCAGAGGCTGGAGTCATTCGCGGGCCCGGCTGGCACGGAAGCTTAGAAGGAAGGGGGGGGGGCTGGCGGGGTGAATGAGTGGGGAGGGGGGATCGACGTCCCTTCCAAGCCGTGGGTGGGTGGGGGAGGAGGAGGGATAGAGGACTACATGTCCCATCTTCCAGAGCCACCGCCGTGGGAGAAACTCTGGCTGATGGGGGGGGGCGGCAGCCGCCACTTCCCATTCAGATTTCTCTTGTCTGTTTTTGTCTTTCTCTCTCTCCGGAAATCGGGGTTTCGAACTCCCAAAAGTTTTGCAAAAGCTGATTCGGAAAGGAAAATGTGTCGTCGTCCGTCCGTCCCCCCCACCCCAATCTTTTAAACAAACATTGTAGCTTTGGTCTCGGTTTTGCAACAAACAGGAAGGCCAAACATTGGAATCGCTGCCGCTCCTTCCTTCCGCTCCAGACTTCTGACTTGGGGCTTCAGTGTTGTAAAAGGGGAGGGTTGGGGGGGTTGGAGGGACAAAGGTCTTCCCCTCTTTCCCCCCCCCTCGCCCCTTTGTGTCCCCCCCCCGGGTTAAGGAAGCTGTTTCTAAAGGTAGAATTCAAAAATCTGGTTAGTATTGCAAGTCACTGGGGAAAAGAGAAGGTTTCCTTTACTAATGCAGGTTGTCCTGGACTTACGACCGGAATCCAGCCCCAAAATGCCTTGTTGCTAAGGGGAGACCTTTTTGGGCCCAGTTGAGTTTTAAGACCTTCCTTGCCACGGTTGTTAAGTGAATTGTTGCAGGAATTGAGCTAGGAACCCGGTTGTTAAGTGAATCTGGCTTTCCCTGTTGACGTAGCTGATCAGAAAGGTCGCAAAAGAGGACCGCGTGAAAAACCCCCTCCCCCAACAACACTGCAACTGTCGTAAATGGGAGTCCGTTGCCGAGTGTCTGAATTTTGATCCTGGGACCGTGGGGAATGCCGCGACCCATGGTCATAAGGTGTGAGAAACGGTCGCAACAAGTCACATTTTTTTTTCAGCGCCAGGGAGAGACTTCGAACGGTCGCTAAACGGGCTGTCGTATGTTCAAGGACTACCGTTCATTTCGGAGCCGGCCCTGGTGAGCTGGAAAGAGGGTGGATTTGCTATAGCGAGAGAAACGGAGCAAAAAATATCCCTCTCTTGGATCTTTAAGCTTGGCGTTATTAAGGAGGATGTGCCAAGGGAGTGAAGTAGGTAGGCTGAGCCCTACCTACTCCATTGAAAAAATAAGATTTTTTGCCAGGGGGAAAAAAAAGATTGTGTAATCTTTTGAGATCTCTCAAACGTCGCCTTTGCTGGTTCCAAGCTTTCCCCTCCCCCCCCCCCCCCCCCCCGCTTCAGATGAGCTTCCGATGTATCTAGGATGTCATTCTGGAGGGTAGAATTGGGGCACGAAGGAAAGATCCCTCCTTCGAATCATTCGGATTGAATGCAAACGCCCAGTAAAAAGCGCAGATCCTTGGCCCTCGGAATAACGTCAAAACATTTGGATTGCAACTAACACCGGAAATCTGGCTTTTCTCGGCGAGACGCCCCCCCCCCCCTGCATGCCTCGCCCCCCTTTCGATTTTGATCGAGGGTTGAACCGGGAGGAAATCCTGACGTTGACATTAGCTTGTCCGGGCAGAACAGGGGTGAGTAACCGATTGCAATCCGGCGCGGCTTCAGAGGGCCCTGCTTTGGCATGGGCATTTGGATGGGCTAAATTGGAACCCTGTAAGAACTCGTCCCAGTTTTGTCCTGACAGGCAAGACCCTGTTTCTGGCAAGGATCCTGTTTGGCAGGCAGAAAAAAAAAAACCCTTGTTAGTTTGCAGTCATTCTCTGGCTGGCTCCGATTTTCCCTCTTGCCATATGGGATCAGGAATCGTGATTCGAAAATCCCTAGGATCATTGGCTTAAAAGCAGTGATAGATATCTATGTATAAGGGACACATGGAGGGAATTTTTAAAGGTAGTACGGTGGTCCTTGACATTTCCATGGCTAAGTGGGACACTTGTCCGTGGAGTCGAGCCCCGTCTTACGACCGTTTTCGCCACGGCGGTTGAGCGAATCGTTGCGGTTGTTAAGGCCATTGGGCCTCCCCCGTTGACTTTGCTGGACGGAAGCTGGCTGGGAAGGGACGATCATGTGTTTTTGGGACAATATAACCATCGTAAATATTAACAGATTAACAGAGTTGGAAGGGACCTTGTAGGTCATCTAGTCCAACCCCCTGCCCAAGCAGACCCTACACCCTTTCTGACAGATGGCAGTCCAGTCTCTCCTTGAAAGCTTCCAGTGGTGAAGCTCCCACAAATTCCGAAGGCAACTTCTGTTCCATTGGTTGATTGTTCTCACTGTCAGAAAATTTTCATTACGTGACCTTGGGACAATGCAACCGTCATAAATGTGAGAACTGGTCACGAGCCCCTATTTTTTCAGCGCGGTTATAATTTTGAACAGCTGCTAAAAGAATGGCTGTAAGTCGTGTATTTATCGTGGTTGGGGAGAGAATTCAATTACGGTTATTGATTATGGTGGAGGGTGCTATGCATATATTTAATTTGGGGAGGTACAGAAAAGCATTTGGTCCTGGAAGACAGAATCTTGTAATGAATAGAATAGAATAACAGAGTTGGAAGGGACCTTGGAGGTCTTCTAGTCCAACCCCTTGCCTAGGCAGGAAACTCTACATCTCTTCAACAGTGGGAGGGGGCAACCTGGTTTGAGGGAGGGGGAAGAATTTGCCTGGAGCACAGCATGGTGGCCAGTGAATAACCAGGGGACTTGCCTGTAGCTCAAAAATCCTCTTGTTTGCCTTTGGCTCTTTTACAATTGGCCAACATGGTTTTTCTGCCTTTTTAAAGCAGCCAGAAAATATGAGCGTAATCCAGAGGTCTTCAAACTTAGCAGCTTTAAGACTTGTGGACTTCAACTCCCAGAATTCTCCAGCCAGCATAGCATTACCGGATTTCCAGCTCTTGTGTTTAAATATTTTTGGGGAGGGCTTATTTTCGGGGGGAGGTTTATTTTAGCGCATGCTCTCAAAAAGCCCGATTGGGCTTATTATCAGGGGATATCTTAGTTTTGGGGGAATAGGGTAGTTTTTTTCCCTGGCTGTTTTATGGAAGCAAATTTGTCGTGTTCTTTTTCTTTTTCCAACTTCCCTGCTAATCCAGAGCTTCTGGAATTCCCTAGAGCAGGGGTCTCCAACCTTGGCAACTTTAAGACTGGTGGACTTCAATTTCCAGACTTCTGGGAGTTGAAGTCCACAAGTCTTAAAGCTGCCAAGTTTGAAGACTTCTGGCGTAATCCCTAAAAGCAAAGTTTAAAATACTCCTCTGGTCACTTTTGACTTTTCTTGGCAATAATACGGAAGAGGTTATGATGTTGCTGCTATTTTATTTTCCCCCCAGCTTTTCCCAGTCTAAACTCCGGTTCTGGCACACTCAACCAAACACCAACTGGATCCGGCCTTCTCGAGCTGGGTGATATTCCCCCAAGCCCCCTTTTTGCAGAGAATTAAACGGGAGATCGGCTTCTGCCTACCTAGGCCCAGCTTTTCGCCATCAAAATATTTTCCTTTTCCTGAACTGCCTCGAAATCGTTGCGGAGGGTCCTGAGAGGGAAGCCCAGAGGCTGGGAAACCCCTGGAGGAATTCCAGCTAGCGGGAATCGGTTTTGGGATCTTCTGTTCTAGAGAGAGGCAGGAGGCCAAGATCGAGCGATGGCAGAGAATCGCGGAAGTTGTGGATAGGAGATCCCTTGGTTTGGAGGTTTGTGTTGGGCTGAATCTCGAAATATACGCAGGAGGGAAGAGTCTATTGGCAGGAAGTGCAAGAAAGACTGGGTGGGAAGAGTCCCGAAAATCTCAAGGAGAGATTTCAGAGATTCCCCGGGGGGATCCCCCGCAGGGGGTTGGATGAGATTGAATAAATAATCAAGATCATCCTAGATTTGAGCAGAGATCAGGATTAATGCCGGGACAAAAATATCCAGCTCTCCTGCTCATTAAGTCTCATTTAGTGGCTGAGATGTAGCCGGTCTTTGCTTTTGTCTCCTGCGTTGCCCCGGCATCGAAATACAGGCGTTCCTCCACTTACGACCACAATGGAGCCAACATTTATGTTGCTAAGTGAGAAATGTGTGTTAAGTGGTTTTTTTTCCCACGTTTTACGACCTTTCTTGCCATAGTGGCTAAGTGAATCACTGCAGTTGTTAAATTAGTCACCCGGTTGTTAAGTGAATCTGGCTTCCTCACGGACTTTGCCTGTCACAAGGTCGCAAAAGGGGATCATGTGATCAGGGATATAAAAAGGGATCATGTGATCACGGGACACTGCAGTCATAAATGTGAATTAGTTGTCAAGCTAAATTTGATCCAGGGACCATGAGGATGATGCAGTGGTCATGTAAGGTTGTAAAACGGTCATAAGTCACTTTTTCCAGTGCTGTTGCAATTTTGAACGGACACTAATTGAACTGTTGTAAGCCGAGGACTGCCTGAAGTCTTGAATCTCTTAGAATGCAAGCAAAGAGTTTTGGGATTGGGAGAAGAAGACATTGGATGGGTGGATATAACTCACTGTGTTTTTCTGACCTGCTAATAAATACAAATTTTTATCTATTCTCCAAAGCACCTGAAGGCAGGAGAAGAAGCAATGGGTGGAAACTAATCAAGGGAGAAGCAATTTAGAACTAAGGAGAAATTTCCTGACATTGAGAACAATTAATCAGTGGAACAACTTGCCTCCAGAAGTTGTGAATGCTCCAACACTGGAAGTTTTTAAAAAGAGATTGGATAACCATTGGTCTGAAAGTGTTGTAGGGTTTTTGCCTGGGGGCAGGGGGTTGGACTAGAAGACCTCCAAGGTCCCTTCCAACTCTGTTATTCTATTTCTATTTCTATCTTTCTTTGGGGAGGGGAAGGAGGAACAAGGGCCTGCCCAGTAGAGACCATTTTTCGGTTTTCCATCTCCACATTGTCTGCTGGGAGCCACCTCTCCCAGCTCAAGACCTTTGCCATCATCTGGTTAGTTGTGATCCATCAGATAAAGAGATGCTGATATTTAGGCCAATCTCGGTCTTTTCCTCTGCTGTTCCCCCCTTTTAAATCATCCTTAAATTCTGGCCTGATCCATCAGGTCATGTAGCAGCTGCAGAGGGAGGGACGTCCTGGAGAAAAAAGAGGCAGCTGCTTTCAAGAGTTGCAAAGGGATGCAGGGTCCAAAACTTCTCGAATTATTTTCAAAACATTACACAGCTCTGTGGCCAACTTCCGGAGCTACTGGATCCTGGAGATCTGCAAAGTAGAATTTGGGATCGTTCTCCAGCATGGTGGAATTCCCCCCCTTGCCAAACTGTTGTGCAGATTAGATTGACTTTCTCTGCTGTAGCCATAATGGTAAAGGTTCCCCTCGCACATACGTGCTAGTCGTTCCTGACTCTTGGGGGTGGTGCTCATCTCCATTTCAAAGCCGAAGAGCCAGCGCTGACCGAAGACGTCTCCGTGGTCATGTGGCGGCATGACTCAACGCCAAAGGCGCACGGAACGCTGTTCCCTTCCCACCAAAGGTGGTCCCTATTTTTCTACTTGCATTTTTTACTTGCTTTCGAACTGCTAGGTTGGCAGAAGCTGGGACAACTAATGGGAGCTCACCCCATTAGGCGGCACTAGGGATTCGAACCGCTGAACTGCCAACCTTTCGATCGACAAACTCAGCATCCCATAATTGGCTTATAAAGGGTAGTTTGCTGCCTAGGCCAGAGTTGACCGAGTTTGCATAGCAAGCCCAACGTTAAACCCTGGTTTATTGGCTGCCTTGACTTGAGATCATGCCATGGGGCTGGGGGAAGAGATCCTTCCCCTCCTTAATCAATGAGCTTGGATCCCTTTGGTGAACAGTAACCGTCCACTGGTATTTAGGTGCTGCCATGTCATTTGCTTGTCAAGCCTGTTTTGGGGACAGGAAGGCTGTCCGGTCGATGTCAGTTTCGGTAGAAGGGTGAAGACGTTCCTTCTCTTTCGTGGCATCCTCTCCCAGAGAAAGGAAAAATGCCAATTGTTCCTTAGCCCTGAGTTTTTTGTACAGCTTTTCTTTCGTCCGGTGCCTTCTGGGTATTTAGAAGGACACTTCCTATCTTCCCCTAGTTAGCACCCTAGAAGGACACAGCTGTTGTCAGACAATGCGCGCGCTGGGGGTGTGAACCGTCCTTGAATGGCGGGCTTCTGTGTCCTTGCTAGACACTGGGTCACAAAAACAGGGAATTTCAATCAAATGCCGTGGCGGGCACACTGCCTGCTGGAATTCCTGTATGGAGGAAACGGTAGTCTTTGTGAGGAAAGAGAAATAGATATTCTTTTTGGGCAGGGCAGTATTTTCTCAGTCTTAGCAACTTCAAGATGTTGTTAATTGCGAAGTCGCGTCCGACCATCGTGACCCCATGGACAACGTTCCTCCAGGCCTTCTGTCCTCTACCATCCTCTGGAGTCCATTTAAGCTCATGCCAACTGCTTCGGTGACTCCATCCAGCCACCTCGTTCTCGACGTCCCCTCCATCTTTTGCCCTCATCTTTCCCAGCATTAGGCTCTCTCCAGGGAGTCCTTCCTTCTCATTAGGTGGCCAAAGTATTTGAGTTTCCATCTTCAGGATCTGATGGACTTCAACTTCAAGATAGGTGGACTTTTAACTCCCAGAATTCCTCAGCCAGCCGGCAATGCAAACACCACAAAATTCCCTTCACAGCTGCAGATTCTCTTAGCAAGCGTGGTTGGGTTGGGGGGGGAGTCATATAATCAAGCAAGACTCGTTCAATTCTGGTTGTTTTAAGTCAAGGGCTACCTGCAGAATCTGAACCCAACTCCAAAGCAAAGCCAACGTAAATTGTTGGCCGGATGATGTCAACTCCCGCTTTCCGCACATAGAGGTGCTGTGTTTGCACACACACCACAGATACAATGTGCTTCAAAAGGGAATTGTTTGTTCCACCCCAGGACAGCATTGTATTCAGGCAAAAAATCCTTACGCAGTTGAGCTGCGAAGCCGTCAACACCCTGGATTTTTTTTAAAAAAAACAGCCAGGCCAATTTGTCCCTGCCCCCGTCACTGGACGGAAGCATCCTTTTGCGTCACAGGGCTGCACTTCAGATCTTTCGGGATGTGGGCGAGGAGTGGCACCCAGCTGACCTTGGCTCGCCTTAGAGGCTAAGCCTGGTTGTTATTTGGGGGAGGGGAGACCCTCTAAAGCAGGGGTCTCCAACCTTGGCAACTTTAAGACTTGTGGACTTCAACTCCCAGAATTAGCCAATAGACTCTTTCTCCTGTTATATTTCGAGATTCAGCCCAACGCAACCTCCAAACCAAGGGATCTCCTATCCACAACTTCCGGCGATTCTCTGCCATCGCTCGATCTTGGCCTCCTGCCTCTCTCTAGAACAGGAGATCCCAAAACCGATTCCCGCCAGCTGGAATTCCTTCCAGGGGCTTCCCAGCCTCTGGGCTTCCCTCTCAGGACCCTCCGCAACGATTTCGAGGCAGTTCAGGAAAAGGAAAATATTTTGATGGCGAAAAGCTGGGCCTAGATAGGCAGAAGCTGATCTCCCGTTTAATTCTTTGCAAAAAGGGGGCTTGGGGGAATATCACCCAGCCCGAGAAGACCGGATCTGGTTGGTGTTTGGTTGAGTGTGCCAGAACCGGAGTTTAGACTGGGAAAAGCTGGGGGGAAAATAAAATAAGCAGCAACATCATAACCTCTTCCGTATTATTGCCAAGAAAAGTCAAGAGTGACCAGAGGAGTATTTTAAACTTTGCTTTTAGGGATTACGCCAGAGGTCTTCAACCTTGGCAGCTTTAAGACTTGTGGACTTCAACTCCCAGAATTCTGGGAGCTTTCGTCAAACGGCCAAATTGATTAATGGCATGTAAAGGCAGAGATCTCTGTAAATGGTAGTTTAATACTCTGACGATGTCAGCAGATGGCTGACGAAAGCTTAGTAGAATAATTTTTTTTAAATTATTTTAAAATTTTAAGTTCCAGAGCTCACAGAATGTCTGCTTCTTTTTATATATAGATAGATACATACTTGTTTTCTGAGGTTTTCGCGGGTGTTTGTATGTAGGTCTTTGGTTATTCGGGTTTTCTCCCGCGTAAAATTGGAGGTATATTGGCAACGTTTCGACGAAGTCTCATTCGTCATCCTCAGGCTGGTGTTCTTGGCTTCGTGCTTCTAGGAGCAATTGCTGATGACGAATGAGACTTCGTCGAAACGTTGCCAATACACCTCCAATTTTACGTGAGAGAAAACCCGAATAACCAAAGACCTACATAGATATATACTATATATATATTATTATTCCCCTCTTATTTCTATCTCTATTTTAACTTTTTTTTTTCATGTTACCGTAATATTCAAAGACGTTTCTTTTCTATCTTCCATCTTTCACCTCTTTTGTTATTCATATTTCCCTTATTTAGCTCTTCGCATCTATTTGTATTAAAGATTCATCCTTCATTCTTTCATTGTTCCGTGTCCCAATGTTACACTTCTGGTACCAATCGCAATCATTTAAGCATATAGCGTAAATCTATTCATGTTCTTTCCAATCGTCCAATCCGCCTGATTCTACTGTTAATAATAATAGCAATAAGAGGGAGATTTAGAAAGGGAAGGGCGGTAGCATTAGGTATGTTTGAACAATATGAAACAGTGAAAATGAAATGTAATAACTATGAGTAATAATACGTCTATTTGTATTAAAATGTATGATACCCAGGTATCACACTATTCACGCATTGATATGTATAAATAATATAAAATAAAAAACTTGGAAGGAAAAAAAGAAGATTTTGCCCGTCTGTGAATGGCGATAAACAGAAACTGCTTCATGCTAGCCAGACAGGAACTGTTGCTTCCTATTTTGGGGCCAAAAACCTCTCTTTCGTTTTCTTTCTTGGCTGTCTGGGTGAAGGCGGTTTTGCTGCATCGGGCGTCAAACAAGCAGACTCAATCATGAGATGAACCGGGGGTTTATTTTCGGCGGGGGGACATCTTCATTTCTAGAATTTCTGGAGGGATGCTACAGTAGTGGCCAAAATTGTGGAAACCTTTTGGGAAAAGTGTATTTTCTAAAACTAGCTAATAATACCACGTGGTTTTTTTTTTGAGTCAGTACCATAAAATTATATATCAATGGAAAGATCATTGAATCAAGAATGTAACGCAATCACTTTTACTAAGGATTTGCTCTTAGAATAGCAGTTACAATATAAAGAAGAAAAGTGAAACACTTAGAAAAAATGGGATATACAAAAATGATCCCCACGTCAGTTAATACTTAGTTGGGTAACCTTTAGCATGAATGACGGCCTTACAACGTCTTCCCATGGAGTGAACCGAGTCTTTTAGTTCTGTAGCTGTTATAAATGTGAAACCAAGATTGATTGAATGATGGCTTCTATTAACTGGGTTTTATTGCTGGGTCACTTCTGACTAACAAATTTCTTTAGTCAGCTCCATAGATTTTCAATTGGGTTAAGAAGGTCTTGGCTATTCCCAGGCCATTCCAGCAGTGGAATAGGATTCTCTTGAAACTCCAAAGGAAAAAAAAAGTGGTGTTATTAGCCATCGAACCTCAAAAATACACTTTTCCCAAAATGTTTCCACAATGTTGACCATTACTGTAAGGCACTTAGGGTTTGACTGTGCTAAACCGTTTGTTCTCCCTAAAAATGCAGGAGTCCTACCCATCGTCCTCGCCAATATGGTTTGTGGAATCAGATGACCCCAACTTGACTTCAGTGCTGGAACGACTAGAGGATATTAAAAGCAATACTTTGGTAAGTATTGTCCATTCTTCAGCTTTCTTTACTCCGGAGGGGGCCTCGGGTTCATATCTCAGAAGGACTCGGTTTTGAATGGAGTTCATCTCGGAGAGCTCACACCCAGCGATCCAGTGAAGAAGCCCTTTGCAAAATAACAATTATCTCATCTGGTCGACAATGTGTTTTAATTACTAACACCCAAGCTGAATAACATTCACAAATCCTTCAGCAGCTGCAAACCAGGAAATGAATAAACTCTGCTCGAGGTGGGGAAACCTGGCTGCAGTGTGCCACAGAGGGGGGGGAGAAACATTTTTGCAAACAACTTAAGAGAGGGTTATTATTTTGATTTACATCCCAACGTTCTGCATATACCAGAGAAAGCAGGGAGGAAAAAAACCTCTCTTTGCAAACATGGTTTCCAGCACCTTGAAGGCCCAATAAAAAAAAAAAAATAACAGCTTCCTTCTCTTATCACTGTCTTGCAGCGGGCTGGATCCTGGCTTCGAATGCCGGCTTCTGTTTTCCCTTTAGTCATGCTGCAGAACTCTGAGGAGGCTTTTTCTTTTTTTTTTATTGGCAAACTTAATTGTCTCCCTGCTGGCACTTAGAATCCATTTTTAATGTTTGTATATGCAGCAATTGGATTTTTGAATTGCTTTCCCTAAGCCACCTGCCAAAAGGTTTTATTTTCAGAGGCTGGAGAATCATTGACTAATTCCAAGGACTCGCTGCCTATAGAGAATTAACAGCAGTACAGCCAGTTCTCGACTTACGACTGGCGAATTTCTGTGGCTAAGCAAAATGGTTATTCAGTGAGTCACAGCCCGCTGAGCGAATCACTGCAGTTGCTAAGTGAATCACCAATCGTTAAGCAAACCCAGCTTCCCCCATTGACTTTGCTGGCTGTGAGGGTCACAAATAGCAATCATGTGAGCCCAGAACTCTTGAGCTGTCATAAATACATGTCCTGCACCCAGATTTTGATCAGGTGTCCGTGAAAATCACGTGATGGTCATAAGTGTAAGGATCCGTCATAAGACTCTTTTTTTCATTGCCGTTGTAGCTTTGAACAGTCACTAAACAAAAGGTTATAAGTCGAGAACCACCTGTAGAAAACAGAGAGAAGGCTTCTAGATAATTCTAGATTTGATGAATTGATTTTCCATGAACTCTGGCATGAATTTTAACCACAGGAGGAAGTGGATCAGGGCTTTTTCCTGTCCATTTTGCTAGGATAATTGGAACAAAATGTTTCCAAAGGGAATTTAGGTAGAACTAAAGATCTAACACCAGTAAGAAAAGTACTTGATGATTCCTTGATCCCTAGATTTGTTAGTAGAGACGGCTCTGCTTTTGATCGTAACTCAAGGAAAACCAGCGTTCCTTGTGGGGGCATGAGCTGAAGAGGCCACTAACCACGGTGGAATGGGACAACTCGCTGCGGCCAACTCACGTTTCATTCTATCCCTCCTTTTAGAATAAAATAGAATTCTTTATTGGCCAAGTGTGATTGGACACACAAGGAATTTGTCTCCGGTGCATAAGCTCTCATTGTACATAAAAGCTGTAAGAGATAAATCATGATCATAGTCAGCATAAAAATACATTCATCGTGAATCATAAGATGCAACACTTAGCGATAGTCGTAGGATACCAAATAAGCAATCGACATAAATCGTACTAGGAAACTAAATAAAAACAATATAAATCGAAAGATACAAGCAACATGGTTATAGTCATAAGTGGGAAGAGATAGATACTAGTAAGGAAGAGAAGAATAATAGTAATACAGTCTTGGTAAATTATTTGACAGTGTTGAGGGAATTATTTGTTTAGCAGAGCAATGGCGTTCGGGAGAAAACTGTCCTTGTGCCTAGTTGTTCTGGTGTGCAGTGCTCTATAGCGTCGTTTTGAGGGTAGGAGTTGAAACAGTTTATGTCCAGGATGCGAGGGGTCTGTAGATATTTTCATAGCCCTCTTTTTGACTCTTGCAGGATATAGGTCCTCCATGGGAGGTAGGTTGGTAGCCATTGTTTTTTCTAATTCTAATTGTCTAATTATTTTACAACCTTTCTTTAATGATTCTGTTCCACCATTTCTTTGATATTAGTGTAATTCTTGTCCTGCAGCGAGTTGGCCATGCCAAGTTGGCCGTAGGGAGTTGGCTATGGTGAATTGTGAATTGTCATAGACCCAACCACGGATGCCCCTTTAAACCTCTTTTTTTTTTTCCCCTGCAGCTTCTCCAGCAGCTGAAGCGGTTGATATGTGACCTCTGCCGCCTGTACAACCTTCCCCAGCATCCGGATGTCGAAATGTTAGATCAGCCTTTGCCGTCTGGCCAGGTAAAGGCCCTGATGAAATGGCTTTAGGGCAGAGGACCGAAACACCTGCCAAGCAAGGGAGATGACTGCCGAGTTTCAGGGCAGGGTGTGAGAGGTGACTCAGAAACTTGTCATTGCTGGCCAGAGCCAGTGGCTGGTTGTGATGCTCGGTGGTGGCTCTCCGTGAAGGATGGGAGTTTGCTGTGTTGAGTTCTGCTAGCAAAAGGCCCCACCTAGAAACTCTCAGCTTCCTTGCTCAAGTCATCTTCACGCAGAGGACGGTTTGGGTTGACTTTCTCTTCCTGCCTTCTCCAAACTTCTTTGCGAGCACAGATAGTCCTCGACATATGATCCAGATTAGGGTAGGGTAGGGTAGGGTAGGGAAGGAAAGAGAAGGAAAGGAAAGGAAAGAAGGAAAGGAAAGGAAAGGAAAGGAAAGGAAAGGAAAGGAAAGGAAAGGAAAGGAAAGGATGGAATTATAGAATAGAATAGAATAGAATAGAATAGAATAGAATAGAATAGAATAGAATAGAATTCTTTATGGAATAGAATAGAATAGAATTCTTTATAGAATAGAATTCTTTATGGAATAGAATAGAATAGAATTCTTTATAGAATAGAATTCTTTATGGAATGGAAGAATAGAATAGAATAGAATAGAATAGAATAGAATAGAATAGAATAGAGAATAGAATAGAATAAGAATAGAATAGAATAGAATAGAATAGAATAGAATAGAATAGAATAGAATAGAATAGAATTCTTTATTGGCCAAGTGTGATTGGACATACAAGGAATTTGTCCTTGGTGCACATGCTCTCAGTGTACATAAAAAGACAAGATACATTCGTCAAGAATCATAAGGTACAACACTTAATGATAGTCTTAGGGTACAAATAAGCAATTGAATCATACTAGAAAACAATTAGTATAAATCGTAAGGATACAGCAACAAGTTACAGTCATACAGTCGTAAGTGGGAGGAGATGGGCGATAGGAATGATGAGAAGATTAATAGTAATGCAGACTTAGTGAATAGTTTAACTTTTTAAAGCATTTTTAACTACCAGTTAAAAAATGCGAGAACCGGTAGTAAAAAAAATGCTAAAAAAGTAAAAAAAAAACCAAACAGTTCTGACAATTGCGCATCACTCAGCTGATCGTTGGAACTTTTTTTTTTACAGTTTTTACTACCAGTTCGGCGAACCAGTAGCCTTTTTTACTACCGATTCGGCCGAACCGAACCGGTAGCATTTCACCCCTGGACCTGGGTCTCTGTCCCACAGCCATTAGTGGAACTCTGCCCCGTAGCTGCTCTGCCCATCTGCTGCCTGGTCTTTTTTGGGGGGGAGGAAAGAAAGAAAGAAAACACTTATTTAATTGATGAGAAACTTTTGTTATGTTCTAGAATGGAACGACCGAAGAGGTGACATCAGAAGAGGAAGAGGAGGAAGATATGGGTGAAGTAGGTCTCTTCACTCGCTTGCAAGCCTGCGCTACTCTTCGTTTTTGCTTCTGGATCCTTTATCTGTCCAGAAAATGAAGGTGGGAGGGTCTAAGGAAGTCATTGAAGGGCCACCAACTGTGCTTCCACCTGGTGCTGTCCAGATGTTCTGGATACTAGCCAGCAATGGGAGTCCCTCACATCTGGAAGGCGTCAAATTGTCTTCTGTATCGCCTGGTTCCACTTCTTAGAAAGCCTCCTTGGTTTGAACCAGTCGGATCTTCTTCCAGAGCTGGCCTGGTCTGGATCAGTCCAGAATAACAGAGTTGGAAGGGACCTTGGAGGTCTTCTAGTCCAACCCCCTGCCCAGGCAGGAAACCCTACACCACTTAAGACAAATGGCTGTCCAATCTCTTCTTAAAAACCTCCAGTGATGAAGCTCCCACAACTTCTGGTGGCAAGTTGTTCCACTGGTTAATTGTTCTCACTGTTAGGAAATTTCTCCTTAGTTCTAGGTTGCTTCTCTCCTTGATTAGTTTCCACCCATTGCTTCTTGTCCTGCCCTCAGGTGCTTAGGAGAATAGTTCAACTCCCTCTTCTTTGTGGCAGCCCCTCAAATATTGGAACTCTGCTATTGTGTCACCCCTAGTCCTTCTTTTCGTTTCATCACCTACCCATTCCAGATCTTCTGTAATCTTCATGCTCCCTTCCACTGCTCCAGTTGTGGCATTGGAAGCCTTGCCTGTCCCTCTCCTAAAACCTGAGCACCAATGTCTTCGTGTGTCTCCTCCCCGAAGCCGAGAAATTATGCGTGATCCATGCAAACCGCCGAACGGCTGGCGTGATCCCGAGCGATCGGTTGCTTCTGCTTTCCCTACCCACCCACCCACCCACCCACTCTGCAATCTTGTCTTCGCAGGACATCGATCTGGATCATTATGACATGAAGGAGGAAGGACCGGCTGAAGGGAAGAAAACAGAGGATGACGGCATCGAGAAGGAGAATCTGGCCATTTTGGAAAAAATCCGGAAGAATCAAAGGGAGGATCACCTAAACGTAAGTGCTTGGTAGCTTGAGAGGAAAAGGATCAATTAGAAAGTTTACTGCATTTCACGTATGAAAGAATTGAAAAGTGGACAGAGGGCGTTAGAGATACAAGAGGCCTTAAATTAATGTTATTTTAGAGACTTTTGAAGGATCACCTTGAACTGGTCTGTATTTACAGAAAGTCTTTGACTTAACGACCACAATTGCGGTCTTCCGGAACTTCCATCGTTAAGGAATGTGATCATTAATTGAGTTGCGCCCGATTTTTTTTCCCCCAAGGTCATTCAATGAATCATCATGGTTGTTTAAATACATCCTGAATTGATTTTGCTAGTTGGGATGCCTCTTGGGAAGGTCCTACATCAAGGCTCACCCAACTTGGCAACTTTTGCAATTTGTGGAGTTCGATTCCCAGAATTCCTCAGCCAGCCTCGGATGGCTGAGGAATTCTGGGAGTTGAAGTCCACAAGTCTTAAAGTCGCCATGTTTGGTGAGCCTTGTTTTAGATGGCGATCACGTGACCTGGGGCACTAAAATCCGTGTTGTTTGCCAATCATCTGAGTTTTGATTATATGACTGTGGGAACGTTGTGGCAGTTGTAAGGGCGAGGACTGTCTTAAATCCCTTTATTCAATGCTGTCGTAACTCGAATAGTTATTAAATAATGGTTGTAAGTCAGGGACCATCAGTATATGCCAGGAGAATTCTGGGAATTGAAGTCCACAAGTCTTAAAGCTGCCAAGTTTGAAGACCTCTGGTATATGGTATTTTTATTTTACATTTTATTTGAGTAGATTATATATGTTTTTTTCCCTTTTTCTGTCTGCAGGGTGCAGTTTCTGGGTCTGTCCAAGCATCGGATCGGCTAATGAAAGAGCTCAGGGATATATACAGGTCGCAAAGTTTTAAGACAGGTAAGTGATTTATTTTTGTAATGGAGCAAATAATGTGATATTTTACAGCAGAGGCATAATTTCTTTCGGTAAGCCTGCCTCAAACTATGATCCCTATCCTGCTTAAATAAGTTAAAAGGCTGAAAAACAGCTTCTATCCCAGGGCAATAACCATATTGAATTCTACGGTATAGTGCAATATTGGGTTTTCAATTTCAATTATATAGAATGTAAAGGATGTATGTTTGTGTTTTTATTTTTATAGTTGTATAATGTACCCTGAAGACGGCATTTAATTTTGTTGTACCATGTGCAATGACAATAAAGTGAACTAAACTAAACTAAACTAAACTAAACTAAACTAAACTAAAACTAAACTAAACTAAACTAAACTAAACTAAACTAAACTAAACTAAACTAAACTAAAGCCCACAGGAAGCTTTTAAAAGAACAGGCATAGATTTCCACCATCAATCAGTAAAAATATGGAATTATATGCGTTATTTTTGTGTGTAAGAGATAACGATGTGATATTTAGACGATGCTGGTGTTTTGCGTTGTTTTTTAATTTTTATTTATCCAGCTGTGTTATCGGGACATTATTTCCATGTGAATTTTCTCTCTTGGGTGCCCTTTGTTCAAAAGATGCTTTAAAAAAAAAAAGCTTTTTCCTTTTCTTCAATTGGAATGAAAACATTTATCTTTTTTTAACACCTTCTCAAAATACCGCAGGTGACATGACAAACAGACGTCAGGAGTCCTGATTCTTTGCCTCCTCCTCAGAAAGTGCTAATGAGGGCAGGTTGCAAAAGCCCTTTTGCAACCATGGCTCCAGACCTGGGCCTCAAATTAAACCCGGTAGCACTTCCTTGGCTACCGTGAGAGACAATACTTTTTTTAGCTGAAAATTATGGGTTGGGTTTTTTTTTTCCCCCGGAACATGATTTTCTTGCAAAAAAGACCGAAAGTAAAAAATAATAATAATAATTCGTTCTCCCCCTCCCTGCAATTATCTATTTTCCACTGATTGCTTCATCTGCTTCGCTAAGCGGAAGGTTTCCTGTTGTGTCTTCTCTGTTCTGCATGAAAAAACACCCTTGCATTGGTCTCCTCTCGTATTTAGTTTATACAGGTAGTCCTCCACTTATAACTGTTTGTTTAGTGGCCGTTCGAGGCTACAATGGCACTGATAAAAGTGACTTATTTATTTATTTATTTATCGGTTCGATTTATATGCCGCCCTTCTCCGGAGACTCAGGGCGGCTTACAATGCATTAAGCAATAGCCTTCATACTTTTGTATATACCTGCTTAGTAGGGCTTTCACCCTCCCCCCCAAGTGGTGTTCTTTTTTATACAAAGTCAGTTTATTGCCCCCACAATCCGGGTCCTCATTTTACCTACCTCGGAAGGTTGGAAGGCTGAGTCAACCTTGAGCCTGGTGAGATTTGAACTCGCAGTAATTGCAGGCAGCTGGCAGCTAAGTGCTACTTAACAGCACTTTAGTCCGCTGCCCCACCAAGGCTCTTATAAACTTGACAGTTTTTCACACTTGAAACCATTTAAGTGTGAAAATCATTGCAACATTCCCTTGGGGTCATGTCAAAATTCACACGCTTGGCAACTGGCTTGTACTTATGACTGTTGCAGTGTCCCCGGGGTCGTATGATTCCCTTTTGCGACCTTCAGACAAGCAAAGTCAATTGGGGAAAGCCGGATTTTCTTAATAACTGTGCTACTAATTTTAACAACTGCAATGTGTCAGGGTTTCAAGTGACACCCCCAACGTTCAATGATTCCACTGAACGGTGGCGGCAAGAAACGGGACAGTACTCACTCAACAAACATCTCACTTAGCGACAGAAATTCAGGGCCGAATTGCGGTCGTAAGTCGAGAACTGCCTGTAGTTGCCTTTCCTAACTGTAGATATGGAGTGAGCGAGGATGCTTGCTGTAAACAGCAGAAAGATAAAGGTAAAGATTCCCCTCGCATATATGTGCTAGTCGTTCCCGACTCTAGGGGACGGTGCTCATCTCCGTTTCAAAGCCGAAGAGCCAGCGCTGTCCGAAGACGTCTCCGTGGTCATGTGGCCGGCATGACTCAACGCCAAAGGCGCACGGAGCGCTGTTCCCTTCCCACCAAAGGGGGTCCCTATTTTTCTACTTGCATTTTTTACCTGCTTTCGAACTGCTAGGTTGGCAAAAGCTGGGACAAGTCACGGGAGCTTACCTCGTTAGGCGGCACTAGGGATTTGAACCGCTGAACTGCCGACCTTTCGATTGACAAGCTCAGCATCTTAGCCCCTGAGCCACCACATCCCTAAACAGCAGGAAAGTACTGTGTAAATTCAGTTTTGGTGCCCACAACAAACTGTAAGGTTCAGAATGCTGCAGAGTGTTGCTGTTTGATTGTTTAAAATTTTGTGTACGTCTTTTGCCCTAATTAAATAGTTCCATCCTGAACTCCTAGATTTTTTTAAAAAAAAAAAAAACAACCGACCAAATTGTCATGTTTATAGATGTTATTGGAAAGCTTTTTATGTGCTGGCGTGAGATGGAACAGTCTGTCCTCCTGGCAGCTCTTGGCTGACCTTGGCTGATCTTGAAGGAGCTAAGCAGGGTTGGCCTGCTTAATATCTGGTTGGGAAATATCCAGTAACGAAAGCCACCATCATGGAGCAGATGACAATGGAGATTGTCAGTCCTCCAGATCATGGTTTGTCCCAAAGCGGCTTTTACAAAAAAGCTGCTTTTTTAAATCCTTGAAGGCGTTTCACTTCTCATCCAAGAAGCTTCCTCAGTTCTGAAGCAGTGGAAAAAGCTGAAGAACTGAAGAAGCTTCTTGGATGAGAAGCGAAACTACTTCAAGGAAAAAAGAAAGAAAGAAAGAAAATCCAATTGCCTTTAGCAAAAGCACCTTTTGAATATGGAGCAGATGCTTAGCATAGAAGTGGCAGGACCACCGCGTGCCCCCCCTCCCCCCGGGGTCTGTCTGTGTCTTTTTATGTTTTTATACTCATGCAAGTATCTTTTATTCAGAGAACCTGTCCTTGGATTAAAAAGTAGGGGGAATTCACGGAGATATTGAAACATCCATGATTTTGGGGGGAGGAACCTTCCTTGTGCCAAATTGGCTTGTTTTGAAGCTTTGTGAAGTTCCAAGTCCCATCCCAAACTCCGATTACCTAATCAAGCTCTTTTTTTTTTTTTCTTTTCATTTCTTTCCCCCCAACCTACAGGGATTTATTCAGTGGAACTCGTGAATGACAGCCTGTATGAATGGCACGTGAAACTTCTAAAGTAAGTAAAGTAAGAAACTGTAAAAAAAAAAAGATGTGGAGACTCTAGAAAGAGTGCAGAGAAGAGCAACCAAGATGATTAAGGGACTGGAGGCTAAAACATATGAAGAACGGTGGCAGGAACTGGGTATTTCTAGTTTGATGAAGAGAAGGACTAGGGGAGACATGATAGCAGTCTTCCAATATCTCAGGGGCTGCCACAAAGAAGAGGGAGTCAAGCTATTCTCCAAAGCACCTGAGGGCAGGACAAGAAGCAACAGGTGGAAACTCATCAAGGAGAGAAGCAACTTAGAACTAAGGAGAAATTTCCTGACAGTTAAACAATTAATCGGTGGAACATCTTGCCTCCAGAAGTTGTGAATGCTGCAACACTGGAAGTTTATAAGAAGATGTTGGATAACCATTTGTCTGAAATACTATAGGGTTTCCTACCTAAGCAGGGGGGTGGACTAGAAGACCCTCCAAGGTCCCTTCCAACTCTGCTATTCTAAGTCCGCTTGGTTTCCCCACTTGCTCCGTTCTGTGACGAGAGCAAGGGCTGACACTCTGCAAGAACTCAAATCTGAGACTTACACCCACACACAAACATCTGAGAAAGTCTACTATCCTGTCTTCACTTTACTTTGTCACTCAAATAACTTCTCTTTACTGGAGAGTTAATTCCCTCCAGAGGCGTTGAGATTACAGGTACTCCTTGAGTTACAGCCATAATGGAGCCAGTCCATCGCGGTTGCCAAATGAGTCACTCCTGGGACTGATCCAATTTTATGAACCTGTTTTACAACTGTTGTTAAGTGAACTAATGGTTTGCTATGGACTGATTGTGCCTAAAAAAATGCTAGTTTGGGGCCAAACTTGTAAATTGTGGTCATGTCATCTAGGGATGCAGCAAATGACCATTAATGTTTCTGAGTGTCTAAAAATGCGGCCATATGACTGTGGGGGACAGCTGTCAGAATTTCAAAACTGGGTAGTAAGTACTTCCCAGGGAAGTCTGTCATAACTTCGGTTGCTAAGCAACCGGTTGTAAGACGAGGAGTATCTATGCAGTTCCCAGTTGCTTATCCTTTGCGCGGCATCCAGCATTCGTTTGAGCCCTTAAATTATAGGCGAGTCACTCCCCGGGGAAATCGGTTCTGCTTTGAAGAGAGCCTGGGAGATAGGAAGGCATTGCAATTCAATTATTACAACTCTTCTTCCTTTTTCTTGCGGCCATGATTAGGGTCGATCCTGACAGTCCGTTACACAGCGATCTCCAAGTCTTAAAAGAGAAAGAAGGCGTGGAATATATTTTACTCAGCTTCTCTTTTAAGGTAGGAAGGAAAGAAGCAATTCACCAGTGGGAGGCTGTTTCTTTTAATGAGCGTATTCTTTAACGAAACTTCAGCCTCTTCCGAGCTCGCCACTCTGGTAGAGAACAGACTTTTCCAAGATCTAAGACTAATGAATCTCTCTCTATTTGTTTCAGGATAATTTTCCGTTTGACCCTCCGTTTGTACGAGTGGTCTCTCCAGTACTCAGTGGAGGGTAGGTCCAATTATTTTTTTTTTAATCTGTCATTATTGAGGAATTACAAATCTGACATTCCTCTTACTTTCTGGACAATGATTGATGCAGCTTTTTCGATATTTCTTTGGAAGCCTTATAGTAAGAGAATAGTAAAAGAAATGCAGGTAGTTCTCTAATCTAAGGCTGAGTATCAAGAACTCTTTTTCTCCAATCACTCCTGAATTGGGCTGTCAGCAGTCAGTCTATTTTCTTTTGAGTAGGAAATATTTGCCTGTGAGATATTAAGGGGGGATTTCTGTTCTAACTGGGGAGATACGAGCAAGAATTAAAAGGCGTAGAATTTTAATATTTATCAAGATTTCCTAAGCCACTCCGGGAGTGGTAAAGTGCACTGTGAAAAATGCCCCAAATGAAAACGAGATTATTGTCACAAAAGGGATCTCGAAATAGTTGCATAGCTACCTTCTGTAACTGTCTTTCTACTAAATTATTCTCATGGCAGAGCCAGTAGTCAAACTATTTGCCAACTCCAAAGCTGATTTTACAGCTTTGATGATCTCCGTTTCCCAACTGTCACCTGTGGAATGGACATGGTGCAAACAAATAGACCAAAAAAAGGGATTTTTCAAATTAACTTTAGAGTCTTGGGCTCCTATCTCTGTAAGTTTAACTAAGGAAGTCTAAGTTTAAACATGATTTTAACTACCCCGTTTTGGAGAAGACTAGGAGTCTCGTACAAAATCTCACTTCCCACTCCATCTACACGTTGGGGTTTTTTAAAAAATCCATTTTAATATTAATTTTAATATTTTTAGCTTTTAATGTCTGCTGTTTTAATGCTATGATGGTTTTATTCTGTTAGTTATGGTATTGTAAGCTGCCTTGAGTCCCTCACTAGAGAGCGGGGCAGCCTACAAATTTAATGCCTAAATAAATAAATATTGGAAATGTTCTCAGGGTGCCATTTATATGTCTCAGGTACGTTCTGGGTGGAGGTGCTCTATGCATGGAACTTCTAACTAAACAGGTAAATACAGGTCTGGAGGGTGGATGCCCATGGTGGAATTACCCCCTGATTTTTATGTACTGGTAGTCCTTGAGTTACGACCACAAGTAATTGTTCAATGAGTCACCCCCGATTTTACCATCTTTTCTTTTTGGCCACGGTTGTTAAACGAATCCCTGAAGTTGTTAAGTTACTTTTGTGAATTAATGAATCTGGTTTTCCCCCATTCGTTTTGCTGGTTGGGAAGATTGTCAGTGGCAAATTTTGATCCTGTGCCCACGGGGATACTGTGACAGTCCTAAGGGCAAGAATTGGTCGCGAGTCCCTTTTTTCCAGGGTCATTGACACTGTATGGTTGCTAAACAAGGTTGTAATTCGAGGACCACCTGTCCATGACTCTGTCAGGGATATCCCTGATTCTGGAGGACTTCCCTTCACCTTCTTCCTCTCTCCCACGGCTCCTCCCCCATGTTTCTAGGGTTGGAGCAGCGCCTATTCCACAGAATCGGTCATCATGCAGATTAATGCCACGTTGGTCAAAGGAAAGGCCAGAGTTCAGTTTGGGGCGAATAAGGTAAGCGACACCATTGTGTGTTCCCAATTGTTTAAGACTTCCGTTTGTCTCTTCTGCTGCAAAGCAACGGGCTTAAACTTCATTGTCAAAGCAGGACATGATCACTTCATGTCCCGGTTTTAAAGCAAATCCATGGAACCGAAATACGATTCGAAGTTCTCCCATATTGCACACCGGTGTTTCCCATTCTCGGCCCTGTAAAGAGGTGTGGGATTTCAACTCCCAGAATTCCCCAGCCAGCCATGCATGGCCAGGAGCGTGTCTGGAAGCTATGTAAATTTTCTAAATAAAGTAAATAAAAGTTCTCCTGGATAAATGAAACAGGGGTGCCCTTCGAACATCCCGCTAGCTTCTCAGCAGTTAGAATAAGAATAATAACAGAGTTGGACGGGACCTTGGAGGTCTTCTAGTCCAACCCCCTGCTCAGGCAGGAAACCCTACACCACTTGCAGACAAACGGTTATCTAATCTCATCTTAAAAATTTCCAGTGTTGGAGCGTTCACAATTTCTGGAGGCAAGTTGTTCCACTGATTAATTGTTCTCACTGTCAGGAAATTTCTCCTTAGTTCTAGGTTGCTTCTCTCCTTGATTAGTTTCCACCCATTGCTTCTTGTCCTACCCTCAATGAAGCCAGTCAATGTGGGGTGTAAACCATGGTTTACATCTTAAGATGTGTTGAACTCAGGCATCTGCAGTTTATTGCAAAACCCCAGTGTCAGGGTTCCAAGTAACACCCCCAACAAAAGAAGACTCCGAGGCTTGAAGTTCCTCAAAGTTCCATTTTATTAGAGATGTCATATCGGCACATTTGGGATAACCCGAAGCTTCCAGGTTTTCCCCACCCTGCCCAACACCTACATGTCCATCACATGGCCCAATCAATGCACCGTCCCAACTGGAGGTGCCTCCCAGTCACACCCCTCCAAGTGCAGGGCAAAATGTCCTTGACTCTCTGAGAAAGGAATGTTATTTTGACTACATATTACCCATGCTCCATACAATCCCCCCTCCCAGTTTCCCACAGTAGTAAATGTGGCAGGCCTGAAGGCCCAGTGCAAAAGATGGCTTCCAGGCCTGACACCTGGTTAGGTTTTGTCTTAGCATGGCATGAAGGTTTCTGTATAAGTCTCTGAGCTGTCCACCATCTCAACCTCTTCTTTATCCGAGCTGCTTTTGTCTTCTTAGAAGGAAAACATTAAAAAACCCATTCTCTCTCTTCCAGAGCCAATACAATCTAGCAAGAGCACAGCAGTCTCATAAATCTCTAGTACAGTTACATGAGAAAAATGGTATGTATGGTATGTATGTGAAATCCATAGTTTTGTAAGTATAACATCAGAAGAGAGCAACTGGAAAGGGGATTTTAAGCCACTGTACCCCCTTGTATCTCTCGTACATTTCTGCCTCTGTCAACTGACCCTCATTATGTGTCTGTTGAATTCAGTACAGGTAGTCCTTGACCTGTGACCACAATTGAAACCAAAATGTTGCTAAGTGGGACATTTGTTAAGTGAGTTTTGCTCACATTTGAAGACTTTTCTTGCCACCATTGTTAAATGAATCAGTGCAGTTGTTAAGTTAGCCACGTGGTCGTTCAGTGAATCTCGCTTCCCCATTGACTTTGCTTGTCAGAAGCATAAATGTGAGTCAGTTGTTAAGCATCCGAATATAAATCATGCAATCCTGTGGATTCTGCATCGGTCACAAGTGTGAACGATGGTTATAAGTCAAATGTTTTCATTGCCCTTGTAACTTCGAACGGTCACTAAGTGAACTGTCCTAAGTTGAGGACTACCTGTAATTGGGCCCTGGAACAATAATTCAAACCCATTGAGCTGGAAATAAAAAATGTATTTGGTTTGGTTCTGATACGTTGACGAGAAGGAGAGAAATTTTAATGCTTGGCCTGCTTGGTGCTTCTATCACCCTTCAACCTTAGAAGATAGAAGACAGAATAACAGAGTTGGAAGGGACCTTGGAGGTGGTCTAGTCCAACCCCCTGCTTAGGCAGGAAACCCTACACCACTTCAGACAAATGGTTATCCAACATCTTCTTAAAAACTTCCAGTCTTGGAGCATCCACAACTTCTGGAGGCAAATCGTTCTATTGACTAACTGTTTTGTCAGGAAATTTCTGAGTTCTAGGTTGCTTCTCTCCTTGATGAGTTTCCACCCATTGCTTCTTGTCCTGCCCTCTGATGCTTTGGAGAATAGCTTGGCTCCCTCTTCTTTGGGGCAGCTGAGAAGCCTCAGTCTAAAGGAGGAAGAGTAGAGCAATATGTTTCTCTTTCAATGATGATGATGATGATGACTCTTCAGGTGGCTGCATCGTGATCCCAGGAAGCCTTGTGCTGCACTTAGAGACTACAGAAAAGTCTACGTTTTGTCCCCCATGCTGCATAACCTACAAGCCATAAACAAACATGGATCCTTCAGAATCCCAGAAATGTGGTAGACGAGTGTCCTTCAGTGGCATGCATTCTAGACTTCAGGGATACTATATAAAATTATTGTGAAGCATAAAAGCGTCTTGTTCACCATTGTTCCTGCATATTTGACAATGTGTAATTATTTTCTTCTTCTTCCAGGCTGGTTCACACCTCCAAAAGAAGATGGATAATATTGAGGGCCACACTTAACATTTGGACCAATATCAGTAAAATATTTTATTTCCATGCAGACTCAAGCTATAAATGCCCCATAACAGCTCATAAATGAATCAGTGGATATCCAGTATAAAATTACAGCCATACTGTTCTGCTCATCGGACACATATTTTGGACAGAACAACTTAAGACTTTCCTATATTTTCCCAACGGATTGAACACACCTGCGTTTTAGTACTGAATCCCTCAAACTGGGTTCTTGGTTAACTGAAATTTTCCTATTGACTTTTCTATGCACTTCAGGGGTGGTTGATATTGTTTTTTTTTTTTCTCCAGAATGGACTGCAGAGGATTGCAATATATTTTATTTAAAGCCAACCAAGAAGAATAAAATTAGTTTGATAATGTGTGTCGTAGAGTTTTCAGATCTTGTAAAACTAATCTCTCTCTTTTTTTCCAGGCTTAAAATTTGAGAACGTTTGTAGACTTTCTTAATTCGAAAGGCGATAATAGGAGAAAGCTTGCAATGTGAAAGAATTAAAATGTTTTATTTCACGGCTGTCTTGAGGTTAGAACTCCTTAGTTTAAGCAAAGCCAGGCTGTGCCAATAGAACTTTGCAACGGGTCGTATCTACTAGGGTTGCTGAGCTGTTCTGATAATTTGTGAGACTCTAGCATCTTCTTCTCAAGAGGGAGCCCTAGGTGTAAAGCTTGAAAAATTATTTAAAATGCTAGAAAGCCTCTTTACAAGGTCAACTCCATTAACGGGTTGTTGCAATCATTTGTAGATAATGAACTTAAAAAGCAATGGGCAAAAATCAAGACACTCATTTTTTTTTAAGAAGACCAATTTTTTTAAAAAACTAAAGCCACAGAATTCCCAGGAAGATCTTGATTCAGATTGGTGGTTTCTTCTAAATGTCACCATCATCGTGACCATGGATTTTGTTCAGAAAATAACAGGGACATGCTCTTCCTTATTTTAGAAAACCAATTTGCATCAGAAACTGCTGTGAGCCAATAACTGCTTTATCATTGCCTTACTTTAAAAAAAAAAATCAGGTGTTTTTAATTTTTAGAGCTGAATTTGGGATCGTTTTCTTTTGTTCATTGGAATCGTATTAAAGGAATTGGCATTTTTCTTTCCAAGATCAGAAATGCACAGGTTCTCCTGCTTCCCTCCAAAGTTACATCTGTACTTTCTTTGATATCCAAAATATGATCATAGATGCTGGACTTCAGCTTGAAAGACAAGATTTGAAGACTTCTATGTGGTGGAACTTAATTTCTTATGATCTTTTGAAGACGTTCTCCAGATCATTTCCACGATTTTGGCTTACTCGGTTGTACATATTGTTTCTATCGAATTGTCTTAGCCGCCTTAAACCAGAGGACAAATTCTATGAGTTTCCTGTAGCTCATTTGAAACCCTGAGGCTAATATTTTGGATACCTTATCAAATTGTTTAATATTTCTAATGGACTAGCACAATGACAGGTGCATACCCTCGGCTTCTCTATTTTATTTTATTGGGAGTTTCGTTGTTTTTTTAAAAAAAAAAATATTCAAAAGTACTTAGCAGCGTACAATAATCTGTAAACTTGCATCAAGTTTATGAATAAAATGAACCATTTTAAGAATCCTGTTACTACTTAATGTTTCTGGAAGACCCGTTTTGGAGGGATTCGAGTGTGATCATAAATTCCTATAACTATCAATGCAGTGTTAAAAAGCTGGACTGATTTTGGACTTTTAGTAATGGTAAAAAAAAACATTAAAAAGTTGTGGTACATAACATTAGCAATTGGAAGCTCTTCAGCTATTTACAGGTGCACCTCGGCTTGTGACCAGAATTTATGTTGCTTAGTGAGGTGGTTGTTAAGTAAGCCACACCCAATTTTTACAACTTTTGCCACCGTTGTTAAGCAAATCGCTCCCGTTATTAAGTGAATTGTGTGGCTGTTAAATGAATCCGGCTTCCCTCATTGGCTCTGCTTGTCAGAAGCCCCCTAAGAAGGTTGCAAATTGTGATCACAATAATTCTGGGATGCTACAACCGTCGTAAATACAAGCCAGTTGCTAAGTGTCCTAATTTTGAACACGTGACCCTGGGAATGCTGTTGAATGATCGAGGGCCGGTTAATTCACTTTTTTCAGTGCCGTTGTTAACTGCAAATGGTCACTAAAGAAATGGTTGTAAGTTGAGGTTTGCTTGTAGTCCTACTAGTCCTGTTGTATTTTGTTTATTACTTATTAACTAGTTTGGAATCACCTCAATTTTCTTCCCGACTGGCAAAGAGACTGGCTCTTTTCTGGTTTCTTCACATCCTGTATTTTTATAGTTTTTCCATCCCACTTCGACCTTTTATCCTCCTAAACCAGGGGTGAAATCCAGCAGGTTCTGACAGGTTCTGGAGAACCGGTAGGAAAAATTTTGAGCAGTTCAGAGAACCAGCAAATGCCACCTCTGGCTGGCCCCCGAGTGGGGTGGGAATGGGGATATTGCAATATCCTTCCCCCTGGAGTGAGGAGGGAATGGGGATTTTGCAGTATCCTTCCCCTGCCACGCCCACAGAACCGGTAGTAAAAAAAATTTAGATTTCACCACTGCCCTAAACTAAGATGTTCCCAAAAGGTAGCGGGAATTCCTCTCGTTCTTGTCACCATCCTTGTGGGTCACCTCTCTTGCATCTGTCCCATCATCCTGAAGATCTGTAACTGAAGCTGGACACAAATCCAACATGCAGCAGCTGAAAACCATTGATTGTGTCAGCTGAAGATTTGCAAAACCACTGGAAACTTTTCACTTGCAAAGAACTCTTCCTTGCTCCGTTAAAAAAAAGAAATTAGGAGGAAATGCAAGGAAAGGAACTGATTATTCCCAGAGTTATGCATAAATATTTCCCAGCCACGGTGAACTTTTCCTTCTTCGTGCCTTCAAGATTTCTCCCTAAACAGTTTTTTAAAACAAAATCTTGCTCTGTACAGGTAGTCCTTGAGTTACGACTGCAATTGGGCCCAAAATTTATGTTGCTAAGCGAAACATTTGTTGAGTTGTGCTCCATTTTGCAACTTTTCTTGCCACGGTTGTTAAGCGAATCACTGCAATTGATAAGTTAGTAACCCGGTTGTTAAGTGAATCTGGCTTCCCCGTTGATTTTGCTGGTTAGAAGGTCGCAAAAGGGGATCACGTCACCCCGGGACATTGCCACCACCATAAATGGGGATGCTGCAATGGTCGTAAGTGTGAAAAAACGGTCATAAGTCACATTTCAGTGCTGGTATAACTTTGGTCACTAAAAAAAATTAAATGTTGTAAATTGAGGACTATCTGCACTATTCTAGGTCTATGGTCTCCCCTCCGACCTCAAGCTATGAATTCATAGAGATAGGGAAAAAAACTACATTAAATTCGACAGGTTTCGTTCTTCCGAGTCCCGCTTAGAGTTCGTAATGTAAGGGAGCGCTCATCATAGAGATGCAGAAGGCTAGAGCGGCTATCCTTGATCACTCGCGGCCGAGGGACGCTTTCCGGGTTCCTTCCCCCCCCGCCCCGGTCTCCACGGCAACGGAGAGCGTCGCGTCGCCTATGGCGTCAGCAGCGCGACGGAGCTTCCGGGACCCTGGCTGGCGCTTTTTCCGGGGGAAGAGGGGGGGGGCTCGCGCGGCCTGCGGTTGTCATGGAGCCGGACCCCAAGAGCGGCTACGTGCTGAGCAGCCTCGCCGAGGTGGTGGAGCGGATCCTCGGCTTCCTGCCCACCAAGACCCTCCTGCGGGCGGCCTGGTGAGCAGCCGGAGGGCCGCAAGGGAGCCCCGAAGAGCGACGAGAGAGGAACAACCGCCCCTCGAATTGGGGGGAAGGGGGGGGAGGTGGTGGTCGCAGCCACGGAGGGAAGCGGGCGGGCGGGAGAGGGTAGGCTGGTGGCGGTGGCAGCGGACGGAGGCAGGCAGAAGTCCCAAGGGAGCAGCTGACATCCCTGGAAGGGGAGGGGGGGCTTCAGGAGGAGGCCCCTCCCCCCCCACGGCTGCAATGGCCCCCTCCCCCAATACAATGTGATTAATTGATCTATCTAATCTATCATCTCTCTCTATCCATCCTTTTATCCATCCATCCCTCAATCTAATCTATCACGTCTCTATCATCTGTATGTATCATCAATTTATATCATCTGTCTCTAATCATTTATCTATATCTGTCTGTCATCTGTCTCTATCATCTATTTATCTATCTAATCTATCATTTCTCTATCCATCTATCTGTCATCTGTATGTATCATCAATTTATATCATCTGTCTCTAATCATTTATCATCTATATCTGTCTGTCATCTGTCTCTATCATCTATTTATCTATCTAATCTATCATTTCTCTATCCATCTATTATTTATCTATCTGTCATCTATCTGTCTATCTATCTATCTAATCTATCACTTCTCTATCTAATTCCATCTATCTGTCATCTGTATGTATCATCAATTTATATCATCTGTCCATCTATCATTTATCTATATCTGTCTGCTATCTATCATCTATCTCTCTATCTAATCATGTCTCCATCTATCATCTCTCTGTCATCTATCTATCTATATAACTATCTCTCTGTCATCTATCTATCTATATAACTATCTGTCATCTGTCTATCATCTATATCATCTATTTATCTATTTCTCTATATATATATTTCTATAAATATATATATATATATTTCTGTTACAGCGTGTGCCAGCTGTGGCGTGAGTGTTCCCGCAGAATCCTGCGAACACAGCAGAGCATCACCTGGATCTCTGCCCTGGAACCAGACCGATCGAACAGCCATGTCCTGGTCCACGTGTTAGCAGAAGACATTGAGGTAAGCGGTTTGGACAGATGGACTGAAGCAGGTCTTTGCCTATTGTTGTCGAGCTTCGTTCTTAAGGTTGCAACTTTGAAACCACATCAATTTGGCAAGATTTGTTCATGTTTGTTAAATTATCACTTTTACTGTTCTTTTTTTTTTTCTAAACCATAATGATTGTTAAGAAACAGCCCTTTGACTGTGCAATTATATCTTTTTTTCCAGTGACAAGTCAAGAAGCAGCCAAGTTTTTTCAAGTTTAATTTGGTTTTAGTTGGAGAAATATCTGCAGCGCAGGTTGAACTCTGGGATCCTTGGTGCTCTCTGAGCTTGGTGGTTTTCTTGCAGACATTTCATTAGCCAGCTAGGGAACATGATCAGTACCTGATGATCACCATCAGAGCACCATCAACACCGCCAGAACACTGATGATGTTACCTAGTCCGGTAACGAAATGTTTGGAAGCTAACAATCAAGCTCAGTCAAGAGCACCAAGGACCCCAAGTTGTATTGGTAGCTGTGCTTGTTTTTCATATACAAGACAAGTTCCTGATGTGTGACTCTCCGTTGTCTATCATGTTGTGTTTTGTGTTTACATTACAGAAAGTTCAAGTCCTTCCTCAGACAGTCTTATATATAATATCAGATGCAGTGAAGTTAAGTGAAAACAGTAATGTTAGTGGTAATAAGAAAGGTAAGTGGCCAGCGAGACTGTTTCCCTCCTCATCAATTTATACACATGGGGCAAAGAAACTGTCTTCTGATTGGACTGTTTGGGTTCTGTAGACAAAATGGCACCCTTGAATGGAACTCTCTGCTCTGTTATGACTTAATTAAACCACTTTGGAGAAGTATTGTTTGGCAGTCACAAAGGGTGTTGACATGGGTCTATAGCAGCGATGGCTAACCTTTTTTGCCATTGCGTGCCAGGAGTGGGGTGGGGTGGTTGCACGCACACGTGCCCACACCCATAATTCTATGCATCCTGCTCCCGCACATGCGCGTGCGACCCCATGGTCCCACCGGAAGTTGGCAAACGGGCCATTTCTGGCCTCCGGGGCGGGGGAAGACCATTTTTGCCTTCCCCAGACTCCTAGAAAGGCTCTGGAGGCTGGGAAAAAAGAAAAATCCCCCCCGCCCCCCGAGGTCCTTCGGAGGCAGGAAACAGCCTATTTCCCTACTTCTGGTGGGCCCAGAAGACCTGAAAATGGAGCTGAGCTCACGTGCCCACCAATATGGCTACGCCTGCCACCTGTGGCATGGGTGCCTCAGTTTTGCCATCACAGGTCTATAGATTTAGTTGACCTAAAGTAATTGAACCTCTTTAATTTATCAGAATCTCTTGTTATTTGCCAGTTGGAGGAGCACGAAAGTATATTGCTGGAAGAATCCTATAGAGCCATATGTTTCAAACCTGCCAACTTTAAAGTATGGGCTTCAATTCCCAGAATTCTGGGACTTCAAATTTTCTCAGAAGTCACAACGGCTGGAGAATTATGGGAGCTGAAGCCCACAAAATCTTAAAAGTTGCCAAGGGTTTGGGAAACATTGTTTTGCGGAGGCAGGATTGATCTTGATCTTCTGCTCCAAGCTTGACCTTGGAAACAGACAGCTGGCAGAGGTTGCTTCTGCTGCTGCTGCTGCTTTGCAGACTCTCGACAACTTTTTTACCAGGTAACCTTCTAAAGAACTTTGAAAATAAGATCTTTCCTTGTTTGTCCGTACATTTGGAAAGGTTAAATTCCTGGACGATATATTAGATTATACAAATCACCCTTCCTTGTAACAAACATAGATGGATAGCGGAGAAGGTTTGTAGCTCAGGGTTGAAACAAGGGGTCCTGAGCTTGGGGGTTGTCTCGCAGATGTTTCATTACCCAAACTAGGTAATAAGGTAAAGGAACGACTCGCACATATGTGCTAATCGTTCCCGACTCTAGGGGGTGGTGCTCATCTCTGTTTCAAAGCCAAAGAGCCAGCACTGTCCGAAGACATCTCCGTGATCATGTGGCCGGCATGACTAAATGCCAAAGGCGCACGGAACGCTGTTCCCTTCCCACCAAAGGTGGTCCCTATTTTTCTACTTGCATTTTTTTACGTGCTTTCGAACTGCTAGGTTGGCAGAAGCTGGGACAAGTCACGGGAGTTCACCCCGTTACGCAGCGCTAGGGATTCGAACCGCTGAACTGCCGACCTTTTGATCGACAAGCTCAGCATCTTAGCCACTGAGCCACTGCGTCCCTTTTTAAACTAGGTAATACCACCGGCCTAAATTCAAATCTCATTTTTATCTCTTGTCCCTTTGTTCCTGCTGGAAGCCTGTCCCAACGACCCATGAATTATCCAAAAACTTATTCCTGAAAATTGTGAAGACCAACAACTGATGGGTGTGTGACTTTTCAAGCAGCTCTCCTTACTCCTAGGGATCTCCATGTTTACTGCAGCAGCTAATTAAAATACTTCGAAAAACTGGATGCTGCCCCCCAAGGTTATTATTGATCCTGCAGGAACTTGGACTAACCATTTTTTCTCCCCCCCGTTGCAATTATAGCAAGGCGAAGATACAGTAAAGAAATTGCGGCCGCCTTGGAAAAACTGCTCCCCAGACGATGCCAGGTGATCGGTCTTGTCACACCTGGACTTGTAGGTAAGGAGAACAACCTCAACAAAATAAGCTTCCTGAGTTTTTCCCTCAGTATGGCTGTACATCCAAACTGGTCTCTCCACCTGCTTAAAGGAAGCAACGTTCTGTAAAATTAATTGCAAGTAAACTTAGAATTTGGACTTCTGATTAGAATGGAAACCGTAGTGGCACAGTGGTTTACCATGTTTCCTTGAAAATAAGACTGGGTCTTATATTAAATTTTGCTCCAAAAGACGCATTAGGGTTTATTTTCTGGTTAGGTCTTATTTTGGGGGAAAATACGGTACTAAATGCACCCATCTGGCTGATCATCTTAACAGGTTTATTTTGGGGGTAGGGCTTATATTATGAGCATGCTAGGACTTATTTTCCGGTTGGGCCTTATTTTCAGGGAAACAGGGAAGAGGTGCAGCTCTCACCTCACAATCAAGAGGCTGTGAGTTCGATCCTAGGTAGAGGCAGATATTTCTCTCTCTCTGGGCACACTGAGAATGTATCTGCTGAACAAAACTCCACATTGGCGACAGGAAAGGCATCCGGCCATTAAACCACTCTCCTCCATTCAGTTGCCCAGACTCCACCCCGCAAGGGATGATGGAGTCATTAAAAGAAGATGATAAGAATGGAAACGGTTCCCACATGCTCGCAAGTCCTGCATAAGTTCCTGGGGCCTAGCAGATCCCTAGTTTCTCTCTCAGGTTTGCCTCAGAATGAATTGAAAGGACTGTAATGTTGAATGGCTTCACATCCACAATTGCAAAATCCACTTGAAACAAATCTTTCACTGAGCAACAAAAATTGGGGGGCTCAATTGCAGTCGTCAGCCGAGGACTAACCTTTAAAAACACCAAAGAATAACGAGGAGGTTGCTTCACGATCGAATGGCCTGTGCTTCGCTTTATGCTACTTGTGGAAAACGAGAGCACGTTTTCAAAAACGATGATTGAAGTCTTGAAAAATGAGATTAACCCTTTAACTGTCCCGAACGTTGCTTTTTCAGCTACTCCCAAAGGCTCCGGCAGCCATCGTCCCATGGAGGTTGAAGAAGCAGAGGCCGGCTTTGCCTTGCTCTTCCCCAAAATCGATGGGGTGAAGATTCAGACCTTCCATTTTTCTAAAGACCCGAAGAAGCAGACCATGGATGAAGGACAGTTTGCTGAAGCAGGCAAGCCGAAGCGGGGTGGCTGTTTGAGGGATGCCTTTGAACTCTTGCTATTATTATTATTTTGCTTTAAAGCTATCCCAGTGTGGGATTTTCTTTCCCAGTGGTAATTCACAAGATTGTAAAAGTTGATACAGCTGACCCTCATAAGACGAACACGGGCTTAAACGGCGCAACCTGGGAATCGCTTTGAAGATATTTTTCACAGTATCTTGGAAGGTTGCGATTTGGGTAGAGTGGTGCAGTGGCCTAGAGGTGAAACTGCCGCCTCACAATCAGGAGGCTGTGAGTTCGATCCTAGGTAGAGGCAGATATTTCTCTCTCTCTGGGCACAATGAGAATATATTATCTGCTGAACAAAACTCCGCATTGGCGACAGGAAGGGCATCCGGCCATTAAAACGCTCTGCTAGCTCCATTCAGTTGCCTAAACTCCACCCGGCAAGGGGTTATGGGGTCGTTAAATGATGATGGTGATGATTGGAAGGTTGTGATTTGTGACGTAGTGTTTGGCTATGAAAAGAATAGGAGAAACTTAGTGATTCTTTGAACCAAATCATATTTTCTAAGTCTTCCTGCCATTCTTTCCATACCGATTTGATCCAGTGGTGGAGGCACCAAGCTAGAAACTGGCAGGTAGTTCTAGTCCTGCTTTAGGATGCAAGGCAATGGGTGACTTTGGGCCAAGCGCTGGGAGAGAGTGAGTTCTAGTCCTGCCTTAGGCATAAAAGCTGACTGGGTGACTTTGGTGCAGTTACTCTCTTTCAGCCCAACTCACCTTACAGTGTGGTTGTGGGGAAAAGAGGAGGCGGAGGAGGAAGGTGTCATAGATAAGGTTCGCTACTAGAGTTGTTTGTAAAAATAGATAATAAAGGCAGGATAGAAATAAATAAATTAATATTTTCTCCACCCTTAACCACCAGACACGGCTAAGCGAGAGAGCAAAGATCCCTCCTCCAGTGAACACCCACAATAAACTTAAGTCAACTGGTTTGTTCTCCAACTTTGTCCATCTCCCTGCCAAACCACAACTCGTTCCTGCGGTTTTTACAGGGTTTTTATAACTGGGAGGAAATGTTGAGTCCTGTTTTTTTTTTTTCCCTAGCTATATGTGTTATTGGCCGGTTTCCTTGCTGGGCTTCCTGTATTCTGATATGTAAAAGGTTAAAACCGCTGGTTATGTTTGCCCAATACAAAACATATGATTAGAGCCTTACCAAAAAAAAAAAAAAAACCCTCCAGGATTAGGTACTCGAGAGGTCAGAAATTTGCTGGAGGGCTGTTATAGACAACAACAAATCTCGTGGGAATCTTTCCTTTCGATATACGTGCTTGGCTGCTCTGTCCCTTTAGGGAAAGTAGGTCAGAAAACGTAAACAGATTCAGCTCATGAACTAAACGATGCATGACGTTTGGCATCTTGTTGTTATCAGCAGAAAGTCAAGAGATTAATAATATTATTTTCTCTCTCTCTCTCAATCTCTCTCTCTCTCTCTCAATCTCTCTATCACTCAATCTCTTTCTCTATCTCTCTCAATCGCTCTCTCAATCTCTCTCAATCTCTGTCAATCTCAATCTCTCTCTGTCAATCTCAATCTCTCTATCTCTCTATCTCTCTCAATCTCTCTTAATCTCTCAATCTCTCTCTCTCAATCTCTCAATCTCTTTCTCAATCTCTCTCTCCATCTCTCTCTCTTTCCATCTCTCAATCTCTCTCTCTCTCAATCTCTC